TACTGGAAATGCAGCCCTCTTTGAATTCAAAGAATACATATTAAGTACTCTCATGACATGCCATACTCTGTAAGAGAAGCAAAAATGAGAAGGATAGATAGCATCTGTGGAGCTTATAATCTAGTATGAAAATTCATGTACATATACATATGAACATTACTATACAAAGCAGACACAGAAGTACCTTTAGAGATGCACAACATTCTAAGGAGATTCAGGGACAGAGCGAGACAGGGAATGGAATAAATAGTTAAGAGATGCTACATAGGTGGTGACAGTTAGGATGGACTTGGAAGGATCAACTTCCAAGGATCAACTTAGAAGGATACCTTTTGGCAGGTATATAGCTATTTGCCAGAAAAAGGAGAAGAAGACATTTCAGGAGGAGGAAACATTAAGTAACCTAAATATGGATGAAGCAGAATATTTTCAATATACAGAATATTGAAAATTAGGTTGAAAAGACTGGGATCATATTAGGCAGACTTTTTTAATGATAGTGTGAGAAACCTGTACCCAAAAACCACTTCAAAAGACACCTAGTACATATTTAAACTAAGGAAATAACACTAAAAGAGCAACACAAAAGATTTTCGTTCTTATTGCTGAATTCTCATACAGAAGACAATGCCTTATTCCAGATCATTTCAATTTACAGTAAACAATACTAAGCCCTCTCCTACTTGCACTCCCAAATTATCCTCGCTCATGGAAAGGAACATGAAAGATGAATAATCTGACCTAAGGCAAGTAGCAGAGTATCCTTTAATCTCTGTTAGGGTCAAATCTCAATGTGCAGAAGTAATCATATAGGTAGCTTGATAAAAATGGAGACACCCAGGTCCCACTCACCTCATCCAGTCTGATCACTAAGTGTGTTGAATCTGTATTTTTTGTAAGCATTCCCAATGAATCATTCACAGATAGTCTACAGACCAGGTTTTGAAAAATACTGACATACAGCAAGGTTCCCAGCATGGCACAATATAGCTAGGCAATAAAAACAGGCTCCATCACTGAACATAGCAATATATATTCAGATAACCTGGAGCTAGGCATAGCAAGACACCGGCAAACTTAACACCCCTAAGGCTGTAATACTAAAAGCATTTAAGTCAGAGTCATGCCCCAAACCCTAGTTTTTGTCCCATTCCAGTTATGGTAATTTCTTAAATTATAATCATGTAGACAAAATAACCAAATTTCCTTACTAGAATTCTAAGCTCAAAAAATTCCTGATTACGAGAAAACAACTCTAATTTCTGATAGATGAAATAACTGGCAGAAAGTACTATAATCAAGAAAAGAAAAGTAAAATGCTCAGTTTGTTGACAGAATCAAATCAAGGTAAATATCAATGGATTTTTCAGTTTACAAGTTAAATATAATCTACAGATTAAATGTAATCTGTAAATTTCAGTCTATGGGGTAAATGTAATCTAAATCTATGGGTTAAATGTAATCTACAGGTTAAATGTAAATAGATCTACATCTAGATTTATTTAAATGTAAATATCAATGGATTTTTCAGTCTCCGGGTTAAATGTAATCTCGATCTATGGGTTAAATGTAATCTAATTAGAACCATAATTAGAATGAATACTTCGTTAAACACAAATCTGGGGGTGAAGGGATGGAGGACAGGGAAAAATGTAAGGTGGTAAGCCTGTCTCCAAAATAGCTACATCAATCCCCTCCATCACACCCTTCTCCCCACCTTGGGCACAAGCCATTTTCCCATGAGGAGGTGAAGTCTATTTCCCCATTTTCTTGATAAAGGGCAGACATGTCATTTCTCCAATCAAGAGAATACAGCAAAAGTAGCACTGCATCATTTTCTAAGCTAGGTCATAAGAAACCTTGCAGCTTGGGCCTTTTGCTAAGTCTCTGGGAGCACTCGCTCTAGAGGAAGTCAGCCACCTAGTAGGAGGTCTGATTATCCTGAAGCCACTATTAAATGAGGAAGCCCAAGCTAGCCATGCCCTCCAGATCATATGAAAACAGATGATCAACCCGCCCTCATCTATTCTAGCCACCACAAACCAGGCATCAGACGTATGACAAGAAACCTTTATGTCTCAGACACTATTTAACTGCAACCTTATGAGTGACCCACAGGAAAAACTGCCACTGAATTGAGTCAACTCATAAACTGCTGTTTTAAAACATTATGTTTTGGGTAGATTTCTACAAAGTAACAGATAACCAGAACAGCTGTCCAAGCCTTCATTTCACCTCACTTCCCAACTTTTTCATTACATAAACTTAACCTATTATAGTCACTGTTCCCAACAGTTTACTCAGTGCTATTGTTCATGCTAGTGTAATGGAATGCTGCCATTGCACTACGCCACAGCAGATACTCTATAAATTTGGCATTTATGAGTATTTTTCAACAGGAATTTTTATAAGTTTAATATCTACACAGAAACAGGCTTAATTAGAAGTTTATTTAGAAAAACTGAATAAAGTATTTCTATATCTCCCGAAATAGCCAGTTTTTCTCACATATCCACATGGCTTGTTCCCTCACCCCTTTTCAGGTCTATATTCAAAAGTCACTGAGGCATTCGTGGCCACCCTATTCAAAACTGCACCTCTTCCTACCCCACTAACTTTGAACACTATGCCCACTTGCCTGTTTTTTTTTCCTCATTGCACTTATAATGCCACATATTTTCCCCATTTAAATTATTTGTCAGACTCCACTAAAATCTAAATTCCAGGAGGAAAGGGATTTTTATGTTTTGTACACTTCCACATTCCCATGCCTGGAAGAGTACCTGGAACTTAATAGACACCCAACTATCACCTGTAAAATGAATGCAAAACAAAAATGTGTAAATTGAAGGTCTCTTACTTCAGGAATGAAATTATCCCTTATACCTTTGAAAAAATGCTTTTACAGTTAGACACAAAATCCTCTAAGTCCATTCACTAAAAATGCTCTTTAAACTGCCTTTTAGTTCTCACTCAAAACTTGGTTTAGCTTAACTTTGACTTCTTCCTTGTCATTACCAATCATTTTTCTTTTACTAAATATGACACAGGATACTTCTGAATCACATCAGCAATTCAATAACAGGAATTGCCGGAACAAGGAAGTGTGGCAACATTATAGTCTGTGCTAGTAAGCACAATCACCAAGTCAAATAATTTTCCTTCCTTACTGGAAGATAAAAATACCTGCTTTAAAAGAATAAGCTGGCTTTTTTGCACCCTTCTGGGTCTGGTCATCATCTGTGGCGTATATACGATGCTCTGTAAATCTGTATCTTGCTCTTGCCCTATTAATCCTATCTTTCTTTCCTCAATAAAACTCACTTTCATGCTTCCCTAAAAAAAAAAAAAATAATAACGACCTGGATGTAAGTCTATCTGCCACATTCCTTAATGTCTTTAAATAATTTCCATTTCTGCTTCACTTATTTTTCCCCCAGACTACTGGTTGTATTGGTTTAGATATCAATTTGTGTCCCCTCTAACAGTCTCATGATTTCTACTGGTCTACAGAGTTCTCTAGCAAGTCTCATAATGTCCCTTAGCTTCTGTCCCTTAGCTTCTGACTTGCTGTAAAAAAACAAAAACAAAAACAAATAAACAAAAAATGTCTGTCCCTAAATATATCAAAATGTACAGGGCAAATCATCATTTGATGATGACAGGCTACTGAGTCACCATATTCCCTGCTGGCTGCAAGAAGATGATAGGAAAAGCAGAGATTACTTTTACCCAGTAAGTTACTGTCTGACCTAGACTTACCCTCTCTGACAAAACCCTACACTTAAGTCTACCTATCTGACAAAAATTTAAAGGTAAAAATCAAGTTGTGGCTTCTCTAGAGCAGACTGGTAATTTAAGTTATTGAAATTAAAATAAAACTTTCTTTTCCCTTTCTTCAAGCCAATACTCCTAAATCATTCTTACTACACCTTTATCTTTAAAGAAATTCCAAAGCTTTCAAGATATGACTGAAACCCAAAACTGACATTTAGAGCCTTCCTCAACTTTATCCCTTACCTATTCCTCAATGTCCTCTTAAATCCCATCTCCTCTGCATGAACTTCTCAAGTTCCTCCACTCAGAATTCCTCTCCTCCTTTCTCAAGGTAGTTACTTTAGTCCCAACACTTCTTGTTATTAACCATGTCACCTATGTGAGTATGTGCTAGCTCCCAAAAGCCTGAGAGTCCCTGGAATTAAATGCAAGATTCCAAGGAATATGCCTAGCACCATGCTTTAGGTTTGTAGCTATACAGTAAGTGTCGAATTTTTGTACTCCCTATGGTGAAATTCATTCCTTCAATAAAAACTTAAGGGAGGACAATTGTATCAAGCATTGTGTTGGCTACTGATGATCAAGGATCATGTGCCATCTCAGGCTTCCAAAGACAGAAGGGGACCAGCTTCCTTTCTGCCTATCCAATCTCTCACATAGTTTTCATAAACCCAGTTCAAATACCACCCGGCCCCAACACTCTCATCTGCAGGACCAACCACACGGCTGATGCATAAATCCTCCACAGCCTGACTGCTACTTAAGAACAGGACCTTGAACCTCTCCGAAGAAACACGGTAGTGTAACCAAAGGGCAAAGACTGTGCAAAAGCACAGCCTAGCTAAAATTCCAATTCCCCCATTACTACCTTTGTGACCTTGGGCAAATCAGCTAATGTTCTGAACTTCGGCTCCCTTTTTTGTGAAACGAAGGTATGCAAACACCATCTACCTTACTGGGTTATCACAACGAACAAAAAATACTTTTTAAATGTTGAAAAGCGACTGAATCAAATCCAAAGATTTAGTAGGTGTTTCAATAAAGTTAATCTCCCTTCCTCGAAAGCGCCAGCACTATGATTTGCACATAGTGGCCGCCGGCTACTCCGCGGAGCCGGGAGAGCGGCAGCGTACAGCGCACGCGTCCCAGGCACACCTGCCAGATGTGCGGTCCTCGCGGCCGGAGACGCCTCGGCCATCCCCCACCCCTGCACCGGGCCTCACCTTGATGGTCGTAGACGCTAATGTAGGAGATGCCCACGGCCATACACCACACCACTAGGCTCGCGATGTCCGAGAAGCTGGGCTCCTGCTCCTCCTCGGTGATCACCAGGCCCATATGCACAGGCAGCTTTTCCAGGGAACGGCCGTCCGCGCGCCAGCGGAGCCGGCGGTGGGCGGCGGCCGGGCCCGGCCCCCCGTGCGGGTGCCGGTGGTGACGGCGGTTTCTGCCGACAGCCGGGGGCTTGCGGAGCGTGAAGCCGAGTGGCGCTAGGACCGCGGCAGAGGCGGCGCGGCAGCAGCGCCGCCAGATCCAGTTCCAGGTGCCGAACCGAACGCGGAGCCAGGAGGTGAGCGTGCGGTGCAGGCAGAGCAGCGCGTGCAGCACCCGCCACACCAGCTCGTACAGCCCCGTCATACTCTTGTGGCGCTCGGGCGCCTTCACCTCCCTCCCGCCCTCACCCGCGGCGCGACGGCTTTTTATCCGCCCCTGCGGCCGGCGCGGGCCATAGCTCCGCGTCCCCCCGCCCCCCGCGCCCGAGCCCCTTTCCACTGCCAACACCTCACCTCGCCCCCGCCGCCATCTTCCTCCTCCCTTGGCAGCCCCGCCCCCGATAGTACATGGATAGTTCTGATTGGCCGGCGTGGAACTCTGACGAGGCTTCTGGGTCTGAGGTTGCGGTCTCCCCTGCACGGCGAGGGAGGGAGTGCGCTTGCGAACTAGGAGGGCCCGATGCCGAGGGCGCCCCCTGGCTGTGAGGAGGGCGAGGAGCGGATGCCAGCAAGATACACGTGGTCCTGGGTGGAATGAGCGGTTCAAGTGACCTGGTGTCCCTGTCCTCTTGGGCGTCTTATACTGTCTCCTCTCATGGCTCCAATAGAAACGATTTACAAGGAGTAAAAGTGGCATAAGTGGATTAGAAATTGCGAATGGCAGAAAGAATCTGGGGTGGAAAGTAGATTTCAGCAAGTGTTGATGCTGGGGATCAACCAGGGTCCCCAAAAGGAAAGTGTCTGCAAAGGCTGGAGTGGTCCTGCTACTGTTCTGTGTCCAACTTCCCAGCTGAGGCTAATTCTTCCCAGAGTGGGGATGAGGCTCCTGAGTAATGTTCCTGCTTCACGCCTCTACCCAGGTCATTTCCTTCAAAACGGCATCCTTACTGGATGTCCATTTAGTATAACATAAAAAAGAGGCTCCACTACCTGGTAGTGCAGTCGCTTCATTCTTTTATTCATTCATTCGGCAAGTGATTATTGACCACCAGGTTTACAGTGAAGGAAACTAGACATTGCACCTGACCTCAATCTCCACCACCATTTGATGCAAACTGGGCACCCAGCCTTGTCATCCCCCTAACACTCCCTAATGATCTGGCCCATGTGGACTTCAAAGTGGTCCTCTAAACCAGTTCTATACTTCCCCCCAGCAGTTCTGTACTGTTTTTGTCCCTTTTGCTCAAGCTCTTCCCTTCTCCTGAATTCCTATTTCTCAACTAGGTATTGCCCAAATTCCAACCCATTTCTCAAGACTAATCCTACATGCCATATCCTCGATTATCATCTATATGTGTGTGCAATAATAATGATATTTATTTTACTTACATAAATTTTACATATTTTATATATATATACATATATATATATATATATATATATATATATATGGCTACATTTTTTAAATACCTGCCTAATCTTTGTTCTCTAAAGCCCTATTTCCCTACTGGGAAACATCTGTTAACATCTTGACTATGTGCATTTTTTTTTAATCACTGTCCCTTTTACAACTAGTCTCATTTCTAAGATTCATTTCACTTTTATTTTATTTATTTATTTTTTTGGTGAGACAGGGTATTTCTATATCACCCCCAGGATGGTCTTTAACTCCTAGGCTCAAGCCATCCTCCTGCCTCAGCCTCCGAAGTAGCTTGGGACAATAGGGACACACCACCACGCCCTTACTTCACTGTATTTTAAAACTTGAATCTCATGTTTATCTCAAAATTGTCCTCCCTTTGGCAGCTCAGCCTGAGGAAGTGAAGGCTGGGCAGGCACACCCTTCACACACCTCTCTCTCTGGTCTCCTTTTCACCAGCTCCTATGATTATGGACAAAGAAGAGGGAGAGTGAAAAGCCATGATCAGGAAAGCCCACAGTCTTCTGCCTCACCAGCCATTGCTGCTGTTTACGCAAGTCCAGGATACTCTGCTAAGGAAGCTCCCTAGGCATCCCATGGAGATTCAGCCGTGTATTTTGCACACCCTGCTCCTCCCCAACACTGACACCCTGCCACATTTCTCTGATGTACTCATTTCTTTGCTGCAATGTGTGCCACTTCTGACAAGATTAGCACCATCAGTCTCATGTCCCCATGGCCAGCTCTCAGGTCTGCAGGCACAGGCAGGCTGTATCTTTTGTACTTCTTTGAATTGCAAGCTTATACAAAAGGTTCTGGCCAAGTCTCCATCTGACAGTCTTCACCAATATGTGAATCCTGGCATCTCTCCCCAACTGTTTGTTTGTTTGTTTGTTTGTTTGTTTTGCTTCTAGATTTTCCGCCTAGTAACAGATCTCTTCTCCTAAAGAAGTGTGAAGGGCAGGAGCTGGTTTTCTTCTTTTGGCGCCTTTCAGTAGGCTAAGAATGGAGATGTCTTGTACAAAACAGTTTTCTGAGTGGCCTTGGACCAAAGCAGCTCCTTGCCCTTTCTTGCTTCTAATTCTCAAGAATAACTGTAGAGTGGCTTATGCCTGTAATCCTAGCACTCTGGGAAACCAAGGTGGGCAGATCGCTCGAGGTCAGGAGTTCAAGACCAGCCTGAGCAAGAGCGAGACCCCTGTCTCTACTAAAAATAGAAAGAAATTAATTGGCCAACTAAAAATATATAGAAAAAATTAGCCAGGCATGGTGATGCATGCCTGTAGTCCCAGCTACTCAGGAGGCTGAGGCAGAAGCCCAAGAGTTTGAGGTTGCTGTGAGCTAGGCTGACACCATGGCACTCACTGTAGCCTGGGCAACACAGTGAGACTCTGTCTTGGGTAAAAAAAAAAAAAAAAAAAAAGAAGAAGAAGAACTGTAGAATGTGTTAGAATGTAACATCCTGAGATAAGGAGGAACTGGTCAGAACAGCACAAGCCTGTTCCTGTCCCTGCCAGAAACAGGATGCTCTTCAACATTTTAGCCCAGCATGTCTCATTGCCATGGGGTATAAAACCCAGGACAAACTACCTTCTGGGGTCTCTCAGCTACAGTGCAAGTGGGGCACAGGCAAATGAGACTCCGTCCTCCCTCAGCCTTGGGAAATGGGCTCATCATGAATCTTGTACTTCTGTTGTCCTTTACTGCCTATCTGTAAGTAATAAACCCACTCCATGTCACTTGTTGTATGCGTGAGTGCTCTATCTCACCAGGCTCAGGCATTTGTAAAAGTGCAGTCCAAGATGCAATGGACTCAACTGATAACCAGTGCACAGTGAACCTGCTTTGCATATAATGATTGCTACCAACTTCTCTGCACTAAGAAGGGGGTAAAATCAATATTGTTTTGTTCCCAGCCACAGTTCTGGAACAACTGGAAAACCACACTGGATTTCTTGCTCTATACATCAATCCAAAGTTTACGGAGGTCTCTCTCTTCTAAAGATTTTCTTATTTTGTCATTTCAAAAAAGGAGTAAATATGACACTTTTAGGAATTTGGGGAGTTTAGGATATAAGGCATGGATTTATTAAACATATTTATTTAACCCTTCACCCCTCAAATTCTACCAGGGACAAAAAAATGCAGAAAGAGTCATGTATCCTCAGAAAGGTGTTAAATCCCAAACATTATGGGACAGTATTTGATTTACTTTTCAGTTTACAAATTGCTTTACATTACCTTAACTTAATACTCACAATCAGTATATGAACTATGTAGACCAGGTGGAATCATCTTCATTTTACAGGAAAGAATTGCTGAAGAGATTAACAGGCATTTAAGGGTAATGAGTAAGGGGCTTGGCTCTGATTCAATAGAACCAATTCAGCCTGCTAATCCTGTTATTCCCTTCCTTGAATCCTCAACTGTGAAGTAGAGATGGTGCCATGGAGATAATGATATCCCTGGCTGCATTTGACTGTGGTAAGGATTGAAATGATAACGTACATGATGTGCTTATCTCATTGTCTCCGGTAAGCAGCGAGTGCTCAGTAATTTACTGCAGAAAAAAATGGGGCAAAATTTCAGTACGCTGTCTTAGAAAGGACATTATCATATAGCACGTTTTTCATTCTTGACAATTGTAACCTTGTGGTTAAACTAGTACAAATAGTTCTTTAAATGGATTGTTTTTTTCATTAAAAGGTAAAGTCCTCTAAGCTTCAACTGCTGGATCTTGAAGCATAAAGAATAGCAATATTGAGAAAAAATGTTGATTCAAACAGCAAACTTTGGTTTTCATTAAGCCGCATTCTAAGAAAAGTAGAACTAATTGCAAGAATTTAAAATGAAGTCTTGTCATTTAAAATGTAGTCTTGTAAAATTTGTGAGCCCAAAGAACAAGACTGTATGTTTTCATTAATATTTGTAATGATATCCTTGCGAATGAACACTTACAACCTTCAAACTTAAAAAAAAAAAGGAAGGAAGGAAGAAAGAGATACTTGGAAACACAGCAAGCTAAACTCGTCAATAATAAAAGAGAAAAAAGAAAACGACATGCAGTTCAGATAGTTCCCATATGCCCTACACATGTACAGCCTCCCCAACTATCAACATCTAGACAGAATGGTACCTATGTTGACACATCATTATCTCCCAAAGTCCATAGTTTATGCCAGAGTTCATTCTTGATGTTGTGCATTCTTTGGGTTTTGAAAAATGTGTAATGAAATGTATCCACTATCGTAGTATCATCAGAATAGGTTTACCACCCTAAAAATCCTCTCTCCTCCACCCATTCATCTCTCTCTTGTCGCTAACCCTTGGCAACCACTGATCATTTTATTGTCTCCATAGTGTTGCTTTTACCAGAATGTTACACAGTTGGAATCATAGAGTATATAGCCTTTTCATATTGATTTATTTGCAATATGAAATATGCATTTAATAATATACATTTGATGTATATTATTGATGTGATGGACTGCATTAATTGATTGTCCATGTCTTTTCACAGTTTCTTTTAATTACAAAATAATAGTTGGAAGCCTGGAGTTTGAAGTTGCTCATAGGTACAAACCTTTCTTTAACGCAGTGCAGTAGGCACTAGGTAACTGAACATTATATGAAATTACAAGCCAGTTGTGTGTATTGTGGATTAATAACAATAACATGCCCAGCCCTGTGAGAGAATAAAGGACCTTGGAATCTTTTGTGAGGTTTCTGGGTCAAATTTCATACCAGCCATGTGACCTGGGCAAAACTTCAGTTTGGACCATTTCTGAAAAGGAGGCTGAGACTGTGGCTTATTAGAGTGTGCATCTATTTATTTATTTACTTATGTTTTTAGGTGGGAAAGTAAATTGGTAAACCATGTCTTTGGTTGCCCAAACTGGAGTGCAGTGGCAATTCATAGATGTGATCATAGCTCACTAGAGCATCCCAACTCCTGGGCTCAAGCAATCCTCCTGCCTCAGCCTCCCAGTGC